AATCCAAGCCTCCCCCAAGCCACCAGGTTGGCCGAAGGGAAGAGGTTGACCTTATTTCTTCTCTTGTTCACCCTTCAGTGAGCCAAAGCCTATCAGTAAGCAGTGGAGAATATCTTGGAGATGTCCTTGTTGGGTGTTGGGATCTGGTCAGGACAGAGGAAGGTAGTGGGGCTGTCGGTGATGCCTGCTGAGATGTGATGTGGGAGCGTGGGTGTGGGTTGCCCATGGGCTGGGTGGCCGTGGCTGTGGGGAGCGCTGGTGTCACTTTGATTCGTGGCCGAAGCCCAGGTATTTGCAACTCGAGGTTTCCAGGCCTGAGGTAAAACATTTCAGCTGTGTCCTTCAGCAGGAAACAACTGCTGCTGCTACACTGGGGAGGTGGAAAATTATTATTTTTGATCTTTAGGCTACAGATTCATTGGAGACAAAAGATGGTAACGCTCGGGAGCATTTCCTGGCGTTTCCAGGGTTGTTTGACCCAACACATTTCTGTGTCTGTTGGCTTCTGGTGCACCTGCAGTTCTGCTGAATCAGCAGGAGCTATGGCATCGAGGGCTTGGGACCCTCGAGGAGACCCTTCTGAGTGGGTCTTCCAGATACTTGCATTAGGGGTGTTCCCAAAATAAGGGCTTTAAGGGAAAGCAGCTGCTCTAGCTGACAGGGGTTCATTTCCTCAGTTTCTCTGATGTTACAAGCCCTGGTTGGGCAAAACATTTGGTGCTCGTTGTCCAGAGGAAAGACACAGCCATGTCCTTCCAACCAACCAACAGCCCTTCTCATGCCTGTTTTCACCTCAAGCCTGTTTGGTCTGAATTACAATATCTCATTATTGCTACCAATGAGACCGTGTGTCACATCAAATACAGCTGCTCAGGGTGTTATTTCCACAGAGGGGGGAAAAAAAAAAAAGCTGGTTTTGGGAGGAAAGGCAGAAGGACAGCACAGCAGGCACGGGAGCACTGGCATGGCAGCATGCTCGCCCAGGGTTGAGGGCAACATCGCCGGGGCTTGCACTGACAGTCTTGCGCCTTGCCCTGCCAATGTTTATTTTGCTTGGGTAAATGTTTGATTTTAGCAACATGACTGCAATGCGTGAGCTGTGCTGGGGCTGTAATTCAATGGGAGGAGGCAGCTATGTGCAGGGGGAGCTGCTAATGTTTTTTCCGCGCTTCCTTGGGACAAGAAAAGATGGTGCCTGGGGCCCTCGGGGACAGCACGGCTTGTCATCCTCGGCCCTGCTGTCACCCCGCACCTGGGGGCCGAGACTGGAAGCGGAGTCGTGCCTTGCTCAGGGCCCCTGTGTCCCAAATGGACGTGGTTTCTGGGGGAAAATCAGGTGTTTTGGTTATCGCAGCAAGGCTCCCACACAGGGCTGCTGGAGGACTGTGAAGTGCCACAGGGCCTGCCTCCTGCCAGGCTGGGCGAGATGGGAAGGAGGCACCCAGTCCGGCTTAGGAATGGCTTTTATTCATGTTTCCAAAGAAAATAGAGGTCTTCTTTCTGCATGCGCCGCAGGGTGGCTGTCAGGATGGCGGGGAGGAGGAAGGGGTGTCCCTTCAGGACAGCCAGGGCGAGAGCAGGGAGGAGAGGGACTGTCCCTCACCTGGGGATTTCAGTGATGGCAGAAATGGCTGTTAATTCACATTTCGTTGCTAAAATGCTGCCGATGCTCCAGTTAAACCAGCAGGCACCAGCATAGGCTCCTGAGCCCGCTCACCGTGGCAGGGGTGAGGAGATGGAACATGGCAGCTCCCCACCGAGCACCCGTGGCCCCGTTGGCCAGGTTTTGCCACGGGCTGGCAGCAAAATACCTCCTTGGAGGCTTAAAGCTCCAGCTGTGGGGTCACCTTCGAGGCACGCAGGCGCTCGGCGTGGCCCTGGGGAGCAGCTCCATTAGTCACGAGTACTTGACGGGGGTGAAGCTCTCGCTAAACCTCCAAGGAACAACCATCTGAGGCACTCGGTATTAACGCGTTTTATTTTCCCAGTGGCCACCCTTCTCAGCGCTCAGTCTTCATGCCGGTAGCCAGGGTACTTAGCCGAGGAGATGAGATGCGGAGCTGGAGGGGTTTAGGAGATTCGGGCTGTCATCTGGCCTCAGATTTACTCAACTCCCTTCATAAACTCCAGGAACTCTGCCAAGGGGAAGACGTAGGAGACAAGGGGTGTGAGGTGGGACCAAAGTGCCCTCGCAGCTGCCAAGTGTGCTCTTGGCAGCTTTCCCCAGCCCTGTCTCCTTTTCCATCCCGCTGATGTGCAAGAGGCCGAGGCAAGGACTCCTCGTGACTCCCACTGAAAATGTCACCGGAGCCCAGCGTCACCCTCAGCTGCCACCAAAATGCTGGAGATGAGCACCCAGGAAGGGGGAGGGACATGGCCACCAGCTCAGCTTGGAAGTAGTCCGGGGGTCATTTTGGCAGCATTGCCTTCAAAGGTACAGCCCTTCGGAGCTGGTGCTTGTGTTTAGGGGCAGGAGGGGACAGGCATGTCACTGGTGAAAAGCAGGTTTGCTTCAGCGTAGGCTGGCTTTTACAGCGTGGGGAGGGTTAAGGCAGCCCCAGGCCCTTGCTACCATTTCACAAGCGTAAGAAACCCCCCGTCCCTGTGCAAACACGGGCTGTGATCAGGTGTGCTGATTGCCCAACTCTGCCAGCACGAGCTCACACCCGTCCCTGAAGGCAACCGAGACTGCAGGAGCTGCCCGGGGGATGCTCAAGGGCTCGCAACTATACTGCATGCAAGGAAGACTCCTACCGTCATAGTCAATCCTGCCATCGTTGTTTTTATCCCCATCTTTCATCAGTTCTTCTATGTCATCCTCGGTGATGGTCTCTCCCGTTGCCTGCAGCATGATCTTCAGCTCCTCGAGGTCAATGTAGCCATCGGCATTTCTGTGCAAGGATGGAATATCTCAGAAGTGGACCAACATGCTGGGGAGGGGGAGCTGGGGCGGCTGCACCTCTCCCACCACCCCAGCATGCTGCGGTCACCGCCCTTACTTATCAAACATCCTGAAGAGATCTGAGAGTTCCTCTTCAGTTTTTCCTTTGCTGTCATCTTTCATACACCGGACCATCATAACAAGGAACTCATCAAAGTCTACAGTGCCGCTGCCTGCAGGCAGAATAAACACCATCAGACGGCACAACGGTGGGTGGACAGGCAATGCCAAGCGAGAGATCAAACTTCCCTTTGGTAACCAAGGAGCAAAACTCAGGGGAGCAGCCCTGCAGCAAGAGGCACCTTTCAGGACACTGGCGTTAAGTGACTGAGGCCATGGACTGACTTCATCACCAAATTTTTACTTTTTGCAACTGAGAGTCCTACTGGAAGCACCAATTAATGGAAATTCCTGCTATGGAGATACCTGTCCATCTCATCTAGGTATTAATAATAAAAGCTCAAGAAGGTAGGTATTCATGCAGTGTGGTTTTGCACCAGCAGTACAGTACTGTTGTTTTCAATAACACAGCTATTTTCCTTTTTTGCCTGATTTTTAACTGCTTTTTTATTTTCCAGTTACTTAGTATGGTATTTCTGCCCAACTTGCACACAGTGGATTTTGTTATGTGTGATCACCGGTACATAATTATTGATATTAATCAATATTGACAGTTATTTATGTGTGTGTGTGTATGTGTGTATACTTGAGCAGTGAAAGACTTTCCCGATGACAGAATCCTGTCATTGTGGCATTTCTGAAATGGCAGTTGCTACATTCAGCCTGCATTTTGTTTTTTAAATGGATCTGTGCAATTTCAATGTAGCCCCAAAAATCAGTTCAAGCAGTCTGATCATTATAGGAATAGTAATTTTTATAGTTTCTCTTTGCCTGGAAATTTTCTAAAGGAACCACGGTGAAGTTTGGTGCGTGTTTAGCGTCCTTCAAAATCACAGTGCTGCAGATTGCTCCCTGCAGGCTGTGGCTCCCCAGCATGGATCCTGCCAGCACTGCGCAGATGCTGAGCACTCCCGACTTGCACCATGCCCCCCATGCCACAGGCATGGGGGTGGTGCTTGAAAGAGTGGAAGAAACCCAAATCTCTCACCATCCTCATCCACCTCATCTATCATCTCCTGCAGCTCCTCAGGGGTGGGGTTCTGCCCCAGCATCCGCATCACCTTCCCCAGCTCCTTGGTGCTGATGCAGCCGTCCTCCGCCCCCAGCACGAAGATGTCAAAGGCAGCCTTGAACTCTGGGGAGAGAGGGGAGAGGAGATGGGGGGGTCTCGCCCCACACCTCGACCCCGCAGGTCAGCAGCCCTGGGGCAGGGGGCTCGCCCCTGGCACAGCCTCCCCTGCCCGGGCACCCCAGCACTGCCCGGGCACAGGATGGCGAGGACAGCCGGGCACAGAAACTGCCTCGCTTGAAATGCCGGTGGATCAAAATCCCTGGGTTATGCCTCGCTTTGGCCAGCTGCTAGAAAGACCGCATTTCCTGGGGTGTAATTGCTGAGGCAGGCTGGGCTGCTGCCTGGGGAGTTCGTCTTTGGGCTGCAGTGTCAGGTTAAAGATGCACCTACCATTTTTTTGCTCTTCTGTCAGCTGCTCAACCTGTAAGGAAAACCCAGAGACCAAGTCATTTCTCTTCCTCAGCATCACTAACAGTTAAAATGTAATGTTACTTGTTGAACAGTCTTTGCAAAGGTTAACCAAGCCTTACAACAGTCACCCTCATGGACTACGGGATATATGACCAGTGGGGTTTTGACACCACAACTTTTTGTAGTCTAAGAGATTATTCCTCTTAAAAAAAATTTATTCCCAACTCCTTTGAAGTGAGCATCATTTCTCTAGAGCGGCAGCATCTATCAGAATTAGCCTTTGCACAAGCAGGGAAGACCCACTGGGAAAAAGCATTTGTCTCTTGTCAACAATTTGGGGATAATTTCTTGTTGCTGGGAGGCTTCACAGCGGGAATGGCTGTGCCGCTGACGGCTGCTCGTGCGTGGGCTGAGGCCAGGTCAGAGGTGGGACATGCTGGCGAAGTCCCTGGGGAGGGAGGGGCGGACAAGACCATCCCCAGTAGTTGTTTTTCAGCCATAGAGTCAGGAAACTCTCTGTGCTATCCAGAACATTAAGAGCTGGTCTACTTCCATCCGAGTCAGTGTTCATTACCGCTTAAAGGTTCCTGCCGCTGAAGGGAGCTGCTATTCCCTTTAGCCTGTTTTGGGTATCTCCCCGAAGAAATGGCCCATTAGTGGAGCCATTAGGTGTTAGCCAAAATGGCTGGCAGATTGTTCCCAAACACTACCCTAATTCATTCCCTGCAGATGATCAGCGGGAGCTTATTTGTTAGTGTGAATTAATGAAAATAATCAATGAGGAGAGCAAAGAGGAATCCATTAGCTCTGTGTCATGCCTCTTTAAGTGCATTTCTCTCTTTGGCTTCATTTCTGCCTGCAGGTACTGCTTATCTGAAATTGCTGACCCCACCACTGTGTCCAACTGCCCCTTCAGTAGCATCCATTGAAACGCTGACTTTTCCCTCCCAGGCTGGTCGACAGCCTCTCTGGAGTCAGCCAGACATGACCCCTGCCAGGACTACCTCTGGCCTGTGCAGAGGGTGCCTGACCCCACTACTGTCTCCATCCTACTGTCTCCCTGCTCCGCGTGAGCACCCCCAATGCCCATCCCCACCGTGTTTTGGTCAGGGCAGAACCCCTCAACCCAGGGTTGTGGCACCCTGTCTTTGGGGAGAAGGCTGATGCTTTTGCCCCGAAGAGTAGTGGTTTTGCAAAAGCCAGCTGGAAATCCTTCCCACTTGCAGGGAAAGTGCTTTTTCTTAGCGGGACAGAGCCTGTGGGAAGCGGGCAGAGCACCTTATCCCACTCCCCACGGGCCAGGAGGTGAAGACTTTCAAGTCAGACAGCGCTAAGGACAGCGGCAGGATTGCCATTGCTGGAGGAACCCAAGCCCGCTGTGGCCCCGGCACGGCTGAAGGCAGGCAGGCAGGCAGGCAGCTGCCGGCCCTTCACGGCTATTGTTTGGGCAGAGCGAGGGCAGCCGCAATGCTCCCTCGGCCGATGTCCATGGCCACCGTCCTGCCGCTCAGGTAACCTGACCCTCCTGGTGCGTTCGCTATTTATAAGCCTGGGTGAGAGAGGTGCTGGAGATAAAGATGAGCTCCCCGATTGTTCCCAGGCTTCGGTATTTATCCTTGCAGCCCTTTATCTGGACACTTGTCCCTGGCACTGTTCTTAGCGCCGCTTAACAGAGCCTAAAATGTTCCCAAAATAGCTTAGTGTTTGCACACCCTTATCTAGGCATGAGTGGGCAAGACGAAAATCCACTGGGTTCTCTGGCTGCACGTAGGGAATTTGGCATAAATGTAATATTAATATATGCCATCAGCATGCAGCAAATAAAAAACCACTCACTTTTAAAGCTTCCTTGACTACTGAAGTGATAGATGTGGAGCTATACTGTATGTAAATTAAATGCATTTTAACTATAGAGTGACACTTTTATTATAGAGATGTCCCTTGAGCCATTTATAGTGCCCTCTGGACAGAGGCCTTGTTCACAGCTTTATTCCTTTTTTCCCTCCGCATCATTGCAGGGACAGGTTTCTCTGGCTGCGGTGTGGGAGGGCAAGCACTAAGCTCGCAGCACTGCAGCGGCCGTGGTAACGCCAAATCTGCTGTATTTTGCTTTTATCAGCTCTCTTCTTCATCCCATGGTTCCATTTGAAGTCAGACCGGGGAAGTTGAAGTTCTTGATTTTTTTTTTTCCAGGTAAGTGTTTTCTTACAGTTAAAATCTTGGAGAATAGATCCACGAAAAAGCTGTTTGTCTCAGCTGTGCCTGCCTTGGACTTGTTTTCCCTCTGTAAGAGTGCTGGCAGTTCATGCCCAGGACTCAAGCCCCACATTTACCAGCGTGCCCCCACCTTCAAACCAGCAGCAAAATCCTTATGGGAGTCCATCGGGTCTTTTGCGTGGCCCATTTCCCTGGTCAAGGGCTCTGTGTTTGGGGTAAGTTTTTGGTATCTGAGGTAGGAATTTTTGGGTTGTTCTCTATTGCTGCAATTCCTTTTTCTTGGCTAAATTCCTCCGTGGTCCAGCTCCGCTAAAGCCCACAGGCTTCAGCTAGGGATGACCTTCACCTGTGGATTTTTGCCTGTTTCTGGGACAGAGGTTTGGAGAGAGGCTGGAGCTTGCGGGTAGGGAACCCTTTCTTTTCGGGGCTCTCTGGCCGTGCTGCGAGCGCAGTGCCCCAGCTGACGGACAGACCCTTTGGGCTGTTGGCATCGCCAGCTTACAAAGCACTTCAGCCTTTCTCCCTAATTACGGGCATGAGGTCCCTAAACAATAAGGACAGGACCTATCCCTTGAGTTGCAGAAAACATATTTAATTAAAAAGCTTAATTAGAGAGGCCTGGATTTTTCTTTGATTTTACAGGTCACGTTTTTCTCCCTTTTTGAGGTGTTGGTTGGGGGACTTTATTGTACAGCCTTTCCTGAGCCTTTTCACACTACTGGGATCGCTAGGGGAGTTCCATTTCACGAGGTTCAGGGCTGACCAAAGGACAGGAGAGGTGTGAGCATTTTGGTTTTTTCTTCAGTTACATATCAAGCACTATCTTTCTTCCCTCTAAAAACCTTGGAATTAAAATAGGACTTGTATGATGTATTTTTTGTGCCCTTGGTTAAAATCAAACCTGATCAACTATGTATTTTAAAAAAAAAAAATCAAAAAAAAAAAAAAAATCACCAAAAAGCTCTTATTTTAATTCCAGTCATGGAAGGGACACAGTAGCAATCCACACAATCCAGAATCTATTTTCATCCTTATTCCACTAGCGTATCACTGTCTACGTTACAAAATAATGCAGTGTCTTTATTACAGACCAAATAGTTTGGGTTTACTCAGTGAGCACTGCGTGCAGCTGTGTAAGTTAAAATAGCCATTAGGATGCTCTGCATTCCCAGAGAGCATAGCTCACATTCTGGATTTCTGCAACACGGATATCAGGAGCGGCAAAGTAGAGGAGGATGTTTGGAAATAACTTGCAAAAGCTGAGGGTTTTTTAAAATCTACCTGAAAAATATTCAGCTAAGGAAGGGGGAAATGTAGCAATGGCAGACTTACAAAGCACCAGAAAGAAGAGGGTGAGGTTTAACCCATACAAATAATGTTCATTTTGTGAGAAATGCTGCTCTGCTTTGTCTGGGCTAAAACCAGCAGCCACCTCTCATACTTTCAAGATTTTGTTGAGATTTATAACTTCACCTACAGGCCATCTCGCAGCAGGGATGTAATTGTACAAAATTTAGCAGCCCAGTGGAGAGTTTCGTACTTAGAAGAGGAATGTGAAACCTTCAGAGCCATCAGTGGGAAAGGTCTGTGTCCTGGATGAAGATGTCGACTAAAAGATGCCTCCCTATAATTATTTCTTATTTGCATTTCTCCATTGAATTAATTCCGTCACAGCTACAGGGACTCTACTATAAAATCCCCAAAAACCGTTTAAACCTCCCCCAAACCACAGCCCCAAGGGAAGGCACTTACCGCTGCCTTATAAATGTCATCCATGGCTGGAGAGAGTGGGCGAGGGGCCGGGGAACGTCACAGTCACGCTCTGCCGGCGCTGCCCCGCGAGCCCGACTGATATAGGGGGCTGCCCGCCCCAGGGGACGTGACCAGCCCACCGGCAGCCCCGCACCCCCATCCCTGTCCCATCCCCGTCCCCTCCCCGTCCCCCCAGG